GATTACACAGATGTGCAAAGATGTCTGCTTTATTAAATTGGAACTTTAAGGATCGATTTGCCTTTGATTCTGATTTAATTCTACATGATACTAGGAACACTGACATCCTCAACATTCAAAGGAGATGTCGATGGAGATTCTCCGTCATCCAGATCATGGTTTCCCCCAAAGGTGCTTTTTTCAAGAGGCAACGCGACTTTCTGGTTTTTCTTTGAAGAAGCTTCTTGGATGAGGAGCAAAATGTCTTCAAAGAAAAACCAGAAAATCCAGCTGCCTCTTTAAAAAAAAAAAAGCACCTTTGGGATTGTCATGTATATCCCAAAAAGAGCTTTGATCCCATTTTCTGGACGTTTTTGTATAGTCCCACCGGAATTTCATCTGGACCTGGAGTTTTATTGTTGTTGTTGTTGTTTTTTAATTCAATGCCATCTCTAACTCAGTTTTTGTAATTGGTCTGTTTATTGTTTCTCTCTGTTCATCTGCAATTGGATTTAGGGTTGCTAAATTTAGATACTGTTTGATTTTGTCTTCCGCTATGTTATATTGAGAATGAAGTTTAGTAAAAACACCTTTGAATTATGTTCTTTTTCTCTTCTGCTCTGTGTTGTATGGACGCATCCTCATCTTGTAGCTGATATATTGTCCTTTTTTCTTTTTCTTTTTTTCAGTTCGCATGCTAACCAACGTTCAGGTTTATTTGTGTGTGCGAAATACTATTGTTTAGCCAATTTAAGCTCCTGGGCTAGTTCTTCCCGTACTGTTTAAGTTATGTTTTATGATCTCTCTTTTTTCTTTCTTGGACCCGTTTTGTGGATCCTTCCGCAATTCCAATTCCGCCTCCTTAAGTTCCCTCTGTAATATCTCTTGTTGTACCTTTTTTCCCCTTGTTTTTCCTTGCCATTTTCTGATCCTGTTTTCTGATCGCCATCTTCCCTTTTTTTCACCATACTTTGCTAACAATTCTGAAGACCAAACAATGCTATTGTGCCCATATAATTTAGGACAGCGGCCCCAAAAACCTTTTGGGCACCAGGGAACGGTTCCATGGAGAGAAGGTTTTCTGCAGGACAGAGGAGCATGTGGTTCTGTGTCCTGCCTGCATCCCACGAATGGCGTTTCACTTGTTTGCGTGGCCCGGTTGCTGGCATGTCGCAGCCTCATCCTGTACCAAGGACTGGGAGTTGGGGACCTCTGATTTAGGATTTTCATCCATTTCTCCTTCGTAATGCTTATCTCCCTTCTGATTTTCCAGATCAGTGAGATTGTGGGCTATGAGATACGGCCAGATGACACAACTTCCTTGATGAATATGTTGGAATTCGGGCTATCGAAATACATTGAAAAGTAAGGAAGACATCTCCCCCACCCCAAAAAATCCTTTATCCTTGTTTGCTGAAACCAAAGACATTTTCAGATAGTCCTTGACTTACAGTCTTTAACAACTGTTTGAAGTTACAGTGGCACTTATGGCCGGTTCTCACATTTTGAATTGCTGGAGTACCCCTCTGATCACATGATCAAAATTCAGCCGCTGTTGTGACCTAGGCTTCTTGATACAGTAAAAAGCACACGCTTAGCCCCCCAAACCCTCTTTCTATTTCAAAGGTTGTGAATCAAGTTCATTCATGAGTCCCAAATAGTTTGTAAAGAGTCCGTCAGAAGTCTGCCACAGTCCTTCGCAATAAGGCTTTATCTCCCTTGAAACACTGCCAAAGACCTAATTGGCAATTAGCTTTGCAAGGCCACACGGAGCACAGAGTCAAAACGGAGCTCCAGAATTGAAACCGACCGGAACGAACAAAGTTGCTTCCTGCAAAGACTCATGTGCCTTTGCTCCTCCTTTACGTCTTATGGGAGGGGCCAATCTCCTTCAAGCCTTACTCCCAAGTTATCCCTTTTGTCTTAACTGTTCTTGCCTTCTGGCAGCTCTGCGCATGTGCGCACTGGGAATAGGGGGAGTCTGAGGTCAGATTCCAGAGGCTCCGGAGGCAGCACATAACTCCCAGATGGCCTTGGTCCCCTCTCTGCCTCCAACACAGAGCCCTTCTCAAAGCCTTCCCCAGACTCCAGGCCTGGCCCAGGTTCCTCCCCAACCTCCTCACTGTCCGAATCTGGCTGCTGACAGACCACAACAACTGCTTGGCAACTGGTTCATATTTATGAAGGCTTGCAGTGTCCTGGGAGGGTCACGTCACATTTTGTGACATTCCCACAAGCAAAGTCGATGGCCAAGCCAGATTGACAGAACAACCGTATTACTAAACTAACAACCGCAGTGATTCACTTAGCAACTGCGACAAGAAAGGGCACAAAATGGGGCGGCAATTCATTCAACAACTGTCTTGCTTAATAATGGAAATTTTGGGCTCAATTGTGGTCGCCAATCGAGGACTATGGATACAGAAAAAGGCAATGAATATATTTTCCTGGCTGTAGTTTGCAAAATGTTCCCCTTCTTTTCTTTTAGCGCCCTGACCAGTCGGTGTTCCTGGATAAAACGGGGTTAAGCTACGAATCCAAAGCGGGGAAAGCTCGTTCCTTCCCAGAGGTATCAGGTGCCAACTTTGCTAACTTTCTCCTTTCCCTTGTAGAATCGAGCCAATTGGTGCCGCAGCCAGCAAAGAATATTCCTTAGAGAAAAACATGGAGAAGATGAAATCGGAATGGGTCAACATCCGTTTCACTTTTGTGAAATACAGGGATACGGTCAGTAGGTTCTTGGTTCTTTCTCATTGAATTCTGGTCTGACTCATGTTTTTTTCATTGAAGGTGCTGACCTCCTTTGAGTCTGCTCCTGATTTGACCATTGAGAAACTGATCATAGACATGAAAGAAACCTCAGAGGAGAACTCTTTAGTTAGGCTGTTTGCTCTGTGTGTGTGTGTGTGTGTGTGTGTGTGCGTGCGAGCGAGCGAGAGAGAGAGAGAGAGAGAGAGAGAGAGAGAGAGAGAGAGAGAGAATTTTGCACCATAGGTCATGTACCATCAGCACAAAGAATCAGCACAAAGAATCATCTCACACAAAGCATATTCATCCCCACCCTGTGTTACCAGGGCCAAACATGGATGCTTGCAATAAAGCATAAGCAAAAGTTAGTCACTGCAGAAATGAGATGTTTGAGGAAAGCCAGAAGGGATAAAATTAAAAAATGAGATCATAAAAGAAAGAATTGGAATAGAAACAAGCTTAAACTACATACAGAAACAGCAAATTAAGCAGTTTGTTCACCTAGAGAGAGTAGAGTAGAGTAGAATAGAATAGAATAACAGAGTTGGACGGGACCTTGGAGCCCAACCCCCTGCTTAAGCAGGAAACCCTACACCACTTCAGACAAATGGTTATAGGATTGTAGAATGTCATAGGATTCTATAGGATTCTATACCATACAAAAAGAGGAGAAGGCTAAAGAACACAAGACAGATCCAGAAGAAGAGTCCCAATGGGAGTGGGCGGCATACAAATCTTATTAAAGTTCAAAGTTCAAAGATGGAGAGGCAACATCTAAGACACACTACAGCAGCATCAAATAACAATGGTTGAGGCTGCCAGAAGTGCAAGTGCAAGAACCAGAATTTTGTATTTGCCTCAAGACATGAGTGGTAAAAGGGAAAGAGAAGAAAGAGGAGGAGGAGGAGGAGGAGGAGGAGGAGGAGACAGGGTCTGGAGAGGGGGACAACCCTCATATCATCAGCCACAGTAATTTCCGATACAGATGGTACATGGAAACCAAGGAAAGAAAATATGAAGCTGTGTCAGGGCTTACCTTCATAGAATTGAGATCATGATGAAGCAAAAAATAAGATAGGAAGCATAGTAAGTTATTAAAGTTATGCATCGGTTCTCAAGATGAGCATCCTTCAGACATGTGGGCTTCAACTTTTGGAATTCCACAGCCAACATGGCTCTTGACGTCTGCATCTAGAGGGTGATGGATCCCGTATTATGTTGGGGAATGGAAAAGAGTTTTAAGACCCTAGAAATCGAGTGCCAAAATACTTTAATTTCCCTGCAAACACCTGTTTTTTTGCAGGATACCAACATCCTTTCGGCTGTTGATGACATTCAACTGTTGCTGGATGACCACATCATCAAGACGCAGACCATGTGCGGCTCTCCGTTTATCAAGCCAATCGAAGCCGAATGTCGGGTGAGTGGCCTAACAGTGGCCTATGGCATTGGTCAGATTTCAGCAGCAGACACTGGATCGCTTTTTTCAAGCTGGCCTAAATTTGATCTCCTTTAAACCATTCCTTGACATCTTACTATGCAATAGAAAGAGGATTATCAGGGACAGGATTCAGAAAATAGGCCGTTTTATCTCTGATCTTGGAGGGATGATTGAGAAGAACAGGCAGTCTTTGACTTATTACCATAATTTGGGCCAAAATGTTCATTGTATTTTTATTAAAAAATATTTTTTTCAACATATAAACATTTCATCTTTCCTTAAACATTGTGTTGTCTGGGTACAAATATCTCTGTGTAACAGCTTTCAGCATTTACAACATCTTTTACATTAATATGAATTCTCTAATCTTAAAATTGCAATATCTTAAGCAATTGAACATTATTAACCTATTCATTTCCCTCTTAACATATCTTCTAATAAAAGTACAATACTAACATTAATCATAATTATCTTCCTCCTCATAATACTAAGAATTATCATCTTGTTTATACCTCTATCTTATTTTCTACTCCTCTTTAATCTTCTTCCCTCATTTCTAATTTCCCTCTTTTTCCCTCTTCACCGTTGATAAAACACTTCCCATATCTTATAATATTCAGTTTGTTCTCTTTAATTCTTAATGTTAATCCATTCATTTCTGCACATTCTATTTTCCTAATCGCCTTCTCATCAAGAGGAATCTCATCACTCTTCCAATGTCCGTTGTTAAGCAAAGTGGTTGTTACATGAATGGTGTCCGATTTTACAACCTCTTTTGCTACGATTGTTAAGCAAATCACTGCACTTTTAAATGAATCATGTTGTCAGCATTCCAAATATCATCCAGAATTAAATCAGAGTCCAAGGCAGAGCTTTCCTCAAAGTTCCAATTTAGTAAGAGAGACATGTTGGTACAAACTGTGGAAACCCAAATCTGAAAGCCTCCTGGGTTTCCCACCCAGTTGAAAGTTCATGATCTTGCCCCCACACCCACAAATCCATCACATGGTCCAATCTTCCACTTCCACGCTAGCATTTCCACCCATCTAGTTGTACAGAGGCGTGAAGACAAAAAATGACCTTGGGCTTCTAGAAAGGAACTTCCAGAATTGGGATTCCATAGCACGATGCCAACATGCCTGCCTTATTAAATTGGAACTTTAAGCATAAGTTTGCCTTTGACTCTGATTAAATTCTGCATGATATTTGGAACGCTGACAACAGCATAGTAAAGAAAGAGAGAGAGAGAGAGAGAGAGTGGCAGGCCAAACCTCCTAAAAGGAATATGACTGGAGGCCTGACACATGTAGTCCATTCAGTGATTTGGTTTGTCAGAAACTGGCTGGAAACATTGCAAATCCTTGAGTCGGTCCTTTTTTTTTTTTCCAGAGATGGGAAGAAAAACTTGTCCTGATGCAGGAAATTATGGACAACTGGTTAAAATGTCAGGCAACCTGGCTTTACCTGGAGCCCATCTTCAGCTCCGAGGATATTATTGCTCAAATGCCCGAAGAAGGCCGAAAATTTGGAATAGTAGATGCTTACTGGAAGGACATCATGGCCCAAGCGGTAGGGATTGCCTTTGGCCTGCTGGTTTTTGAAATACCCTTTTCAGAATATTGTCCGGAGTCCTTGTCACATCGGCTTAATGAAGGATCTCGGGGTGGCATTCCGAAAACTTGTTGAACTTGGTTACTTGGTTGAAGTAGTTGGTTAGCTCGGTTGACTGGTTTGCTTTGTGTTTTTGGCTTCTGAGGGTGGCCCATTGGTGAGACCTGCAAGATAGTTCAGAGAAAGAGCACAACCAGAAGTCCTACCGTCTTTCCCCAAAAATAAGACAAGGTCTTATTTTCTTTTGACCCCCCCGAAATAAGCGCTTGGCCTTATTTTTGGGAAGGTCTTATTAATTTTGAGGTGCAGGAGGCCCCTTAACCTCAGCCCATGTTTCACGGATCAGCTGGTCCAGAGAGGACTGGAAGTTCTGCCTCTGTTTCTCATCCAAGAAGCTGCATTCAATTCTGTCAGTCAGAACTGAAGAACCCAAAGGTGCTTTTTCAAGAGGCAGCTGAGTTTTTCTTTGTTTTTCCTCGAAGATGTTTTGCTTCTTATCCAAGAAGCTTCTCTCATCCAACAAGGTTCTTGGATGAGAAGCAAAATGTCTTCAAGGAAAAACCTAGACAGTCCGGCTGCCTCTTGGAAAAGCACCTTTGGGACAACCGTGACCTGGATGACTGAGAATCTCCATAAATATAAAACTGAAGAAGTTTCTTGGAGGAGAAGTGAAACATTTTTGAAGAAAACAAAAAACCCAGGAAGTGTTCTGATCGAGGCTTCCTGAGACCATGAAGTTCCGATAAAACCCCTTTTATTAATTGACTGTGAATTCTGCTCATTCACATTCAGCAAAGTTTTTCAAGGGAGGATTTATAGTCACAGACCTTCTCTGGCTTGGAGAGCTGCCAGGCCGATCTCTACAGAACTTGGCCGGGAGTCTCAGAGAGTCATGAATTAATGAAGCGAACTGATTGTCTCCTGCAAACTCCACTCCCCTTTCGCTCCTCTTTTAGTTCCTCTGGGAGGGGCCGTTCATCATCCACCTGTGGCCTCCCTCCCAAGTCAACCCTTGTTCTTTAGCTGTTCCCTTCGTCTGGCCGCTCTGCGTATGCTCACACTGGGAACAGGCTCCAGCTGTTCTTCTGCCTCACTGATGTCTGACTCCTAAGGCAGCTGATCACTGGCGTATGGCTCTGGCCCCCTCTCCGCCTCCGACACAGAGTCCTCATCAGAGCCTCCCCCAGACTCCAGGACTGGCCCATCTTCCTCCCCAACCTCCTCACTGTCCGAATCTGCTTCCAGCTCCCCTGGTC